TTTTAACCCTAGAACCCCAGAAACCCTAAACCCTAAATCCTGTGGGCTTTCAAACACTAAGGCGGGAATATTGAAAGAATATAAAACAGAAATCATTTATATTCTTCCAAGGGGGCATTTTGTTAGTGGCAAATCGAGAAAAGCAATCGAAATCGAAAGGAAGAAATATGACTCGATAAGATAAACAAAAGTTCATTCGATGTCTAATTAGAAATACGTAGCATATAGCATCGAGAAACACAATCGAGAATCAAATGAATTACAATCAAATAACTGTTGTCGAATAAAAACTAAGTCATATAAGACCAGGGTTAAAAAGGAATCGTAAGCAATTCGAAGTTCTCGAATTATACAGAATCGAGAGTAAAGAAAGCCAATGTGGACATCGAGACTTTGGCCAAATTGTGAAGGGAAGTAAGTCGAACGCACGTATAGAGAGCAGTTCTGAAATCATGGGAAAAAGTCGGAGATCGTGAGAACGTGGGAAACTATAGAAGATAAACTGTCATACGCACGTAGAACGTGGTAGCAGTCGCGTTAACCGCTCTCGGAAGGCTTGAAGGATGCCCTATAAATGAGAGCAAAGGAGAAAGGAACAAAAGGGGAGCAGAAATTGGCAGAGAACAGGATCGAGTAGTGAAAAGTCTACCGGAGAAACGACGAACACCATGAAGCTTCCGGCAATCTGGATTTCCTTGCTCACCGAGTACATTTACCGCTTTCGTATTTTCCTTGGTAATTTATTTTGATACAACTTAAATTCAGCAATTTTATGTTTCTGTATTTTCAATTCCTTGTCCATTTCAATTCAATGAAAATTTGAGTTTCGCATTTAGATTTCCTGTTATTTAACATTCTCGCAAATCTCAATTTCCTGTCATTTACTTTTCTTGCAATCTCGATTTCTTGTCATTTATATTTGCGTTGTTTTCGATTTCTCGCTATTTACAATTAATGCAAGTTTGGGGTTCTCGCATTTTACATTTCCTCGCAATTTAATATTCTCGCTTTTCGATTCGATAGTCTTAATGCTTTCGATACTTTAAATACAAAACACCAAAAACAAGCATTTTCGATATCCCGGAGTTTTCGATTCTCATACACGTTTTCGATTGAAAATCAAATTGCTAGCTTAAGTAAAAAGAGCTTACGTGGTAGAATTTTGATTAGGACCAAAACACCCTTAGAATCGAAATCGATCGAAATTCCACCGAAACAATTATAAAAATATTATTTTATTAAATTTGATTTGACTCGTTGAATCCAAATTAAATTTTTAAATATTAAATTCATGTCATGAGGGATTCAATAATCAATTCGATTTTAAAAATATTGGTTACACTTTAAATTTAGTTAAATAAATTGATTTTCTTAATAAAAATTAAAGTTTTAACGTGGATTTAATTTCAAAAATAGTATAATTTAAAAAATTATTTAAATAAAAATATTTTATTTATCATAAATGGAATTTATTATTGATAAAAGAGGAGGAGACAAGTAAAAGTAAAGAAAAAGAAAAGAATAAAACATATTATGAAAAAAAAATCAGAAGAAAACAAAAATATAATAAATTATTGTATTCACTGATATAATTTATTGTTGAGTGATTGTCACACATAAATTACATAATTTTTTTTAAATAAATATTACGTTATATATAAAATCAAATTTTATGTAATATTATTATTTTATTTGGTTTTGCTAATATATGAGATATCTTGATTCAGTAAATGTAGATGGCAAAATGGATAATCTTTCCTCATTTAACCAATCTCATTCTTAACTCTAAAATTTTGGTAGAGTATACTTATATATCATGATTAAGATGAATTATAAATCTTATTTATCAAATCATGGGTTATAAGTTAATGTATCAGTCCACTAATATTTTTTTTTATATGTATTTAAAAAATATATATATTTAATATATTTATACGTTAAAATAATTAATTATAATTTAAATTTAAATAATCAATATTTATATTTAAAATTATAATTATAATATTATAATATATTTATATATTTTAAAAATAAAAAAATTTAATTACAATAAATTTTATTTTAATTTTAATATATAAATATTTTTTTAAAAGTGAGACAAACTCGTCTCAAACCTCAACATGACGTGTTCTCATTTATGTTAAATGAGATGAATCAAAATAGATTGACAAGTTAAAATTAATTTATCCCTCCGTATTTTAGACGAACATGTAGATTCATCTATCAAATTTTATCTGTTTTATCACCTAAAATAAAATATTAAAATGGGAATAATTAAATAAATATAAATTTTAATTTTTATTATTTATTTGATAACTTTAATTTATAAATTTAATCTAATATATTAAATACAATATTAATTTAAATCAATTAAAATGGTTAGTAAATGATAAAAATATATCAACTTTCATTATTAATTTTGAATGAATTACTATTACTATTTATATTAATTTAATATTTTATGAAAAAAATAAAGAAACGTAAATTTAAATAGTTAAAATAAGTATTATTATAACACAACTAAATAATAAATGAAAAAAATTGGAGAGTTAAAAAGTTTTTCTAATATTATCAATTTTAAAAAAATAATTTTCTTGCTGGATTACATATTTTTTATATCTTTAATTTTCTTTTTACTTAATTATTACACTAGGTTTCGTCTGATTAAAACAACGCAAAATGCAAAATGCAATATTAAATAAAAGACCAAAAATAAATAATGAGTATAATACTATTGGATATTTTATAAATTATTATTATCTATTATTAATAATAAACTAATAATTTTGGAAGACAAAATAATATATATTAAATAAATAAAATAGATAATATAAAAAATGTGAGAAAAATATTTAAGAATTTATTTTAATATATTATTAAAAATGAGATGAAAGAAAAATTATAAATATATAAATAATTTTAAAATAGTAGGCCTAATCTCGTCTTACATGAAGATCTATACTTGTTTAGCGTTAATATTGTTTTTATATTTCAATGAAGTTTTTTGTTTATTTAAACTTAATATAATTATAATTATATTTTGCATTAACTTATAAGTAAAGATTTTATAAAAATCAATACTACAAATGAATAATATAATAACTACAAAACGTCATCATACTAGTCAATTAAAAATATATATATACAATATTAATAGTTAAATATGTAATTAAGTCCTCGTAACTAAATAAATATATTCATGAATTATGTTTAAAATATATATATATATATATATATATATATATATTTATTTATTAATGGTCTCTTCATGTAAATTTAACATTCAACAATTATTATTATTGGTTAAGTTAGAATAGAAAGATTGGACATGATGTTCACAAAGTCTAGGTTTATAATCACATGATTAAGAATTTAATCTTAAGTAAGATGTTTAAGGGAAACAAATAATTATTTTCTGTGTAAAAATTTAATATGTTAAATGAATGTAAATCAGAAACCAACTAAAAATTACAAGAGATAAACTTATTAGTTTTTTCAATATTAACAAAAATAAAATAAGTTTCATAATAAAAATAAATATTACCTTTTCATTATATTTAAAATTATTTTTTATTAATGTATATATATTAATTTTATCCATTTACTTTCAGAATAAAAAATACATTTTTTTCTTATTTTACTATTCAATTTTTTTTATAACTTAATAATATAAAATGATAATTTATCTTAATTATTGTATAAAAAAATTTCAACTCTTATAATAATGTATCTTTTAAACATTCATATTAATATTTATATCTACATATACTTATACCAAATTTACGTTGTTTTATATAAAAATATAAAAGATTATAAATTATAAAGTCAATTAATAGATAACTTTAAAATCATATAAATCACAAATAAAGAAAAGAAGTTATCTTGTTTTAATTTCTCAATTCTATTTCAGTTTTATTAAAAATGGGCAAAATATGTTAATCTGTTTTTAAAAAATATTTATATATTAAAACTAAAATAAAAAATATAATAAAAAATATTATATTTTTTTATTATATTAAAATATATAAATATATTAGAATATTATAAATTAAATTATAAATATTAATCAATTAATAGTATAATACTTTTATTTAATTTATTTAATAAAATATTAATTAATAAATAAAAATATAAAAGTTATATATATATATATATATATATATATATATATATATATATATATATATATATATATATATATATATATATAAAATATTGGTAGATGGATTCCATTAACCTATTAATCCATACAGGATATACTGAAGCTATAATCTATCCCACGTTATTTTTAAATGGACTAAAAATAAAATAATTAAAATAAGATATGTGGACCTATTTTATTATCACTGTTATCTATTAGAGTCAAAATTTAAAACTTAAAATAAAAATAAAATATTTTTTTATAAATAAAATGTACAACCGCAAATAATATTAATCAATATTAAGTTTATTACGAGTATACCAATCTCTTCTCTTTTCACTAAATTGATATTTAGTGGATAGAAATATAATGTATAAAAATTCATTAATTAAAAGTTGACAAATAAGATTAACTAAATTAAAAATTCAATTATAAAATATATAATTAAAATATAACAAATATTTTGTTATTTATTAGAAGTCACTTTACTTTGGTTAATTCTTCATATTATTACTAATTTTATGATGAAAAAGTTAATTATATAATTTTGAAACTTATAGGATGAAATTAGTAAAATCTAAAATTAAGTGGATGAAATTAAAAAATGTAAAAGTTTAGTAATAAAATATGAATCTAAAAATATAATTGAGGAAAATGGTAAAGTTGATATTAAACTAAAAATCTGAATTGATAATATAAATCATGGGGTTAATGAAATTGATATGAATCAACTTGTATAAAGGAAGAGTTGGTGGGGTTAGAAGAGAGGGAGAAAGATAGTGGAAAGTGGATGAGAGTGGCAGCAACAGTTGTGTGTAAGAGTCACCGATTTCTCTCCTGATCTCTCCTTGCCGCGAAGATGGAGTGCGAGATGAGTCCTGCCTGTATGTTCGTGCAGAGACGCGAAGCCACCGGGGATAACGGCGCCGACAACAACGTGATGATGATCTCTGTGGCCCACGCTTCTTCTCACCACGACCTCTTCTTACCAACCAACTCCACTTTCTGTTAATATCTTCTCTCTCTCTTTTTCTCAAACACTTCTCAGTCATTGTTTTTTTGCACATTGCAGAGTTTGGCGAAGTCTCCTGGCTTTTGCCATATGATCAACATTCAACAATATCTCGTGTTTCTTTTTATGGATCAGTGATTCCATTGTCAATCACTTTACGTATCTATGTTAGGAAGTGATTGATTGGTTGATGAGAATAGGGATTAAATTCACGCATAAGAAAAAAGGAAAACAAGGCGTTTTTGTGAAATTAACATGTTCTTTGTTTTAGAATAGGTAATTTTATGAAATCTAAACTATATGAGGCAGGAAAGGGAAGGAAGTGAATTCATGAGATGAGATTATAGAGTTGTAGATTTTGAGAATATGCATGTGCGAACAGAATTTACTCTTGTTTTTTTATGAATACCTTTCATAGTTTTAATTTGTTGTTGATTGCGATTAAGTAACTATCCTTGCGGTAAGAGCAGAATGTTGCTCATGTGGTTACAATAGCGGTTGCAGTGATAAAAAAACCTTGATGCTGTTATTGTGGTTGGTTTGCCAACTATTTATGAAAAAACAGGAATTATTTATTTGTTATTTGGATTCTTATCAAAATAGACACAGTTGACATCCAGAGTGACTATACTGTATTTTGTGATAATATAAGAGGACCATGTTAATATACTTGAGAGTTATGGGGCCTGCATATTATATAATCTCTTTGCGTGATATATTTGTAACTGGTTAATGTTTTGTCCTGCGTTGTAGCGTTGATTGTTCCGTCATCTGGAATGTGTTTTAGCAAAATAGTGGTTGTCTTAGAAGTTACCGCATACAAGTAGCATATGCTCTAGAAGATGTGTATGATACATAGTTTAATTAAATACTTATTTAATAAGCTTGTTGAAATAAGTTAGATAGAGACTATGGGATAGGTTACATTCTGCATAGTCATTTTTTATATTAGTTTCCAATAGGCAGATATTCGGATGCAAGCCAATTTGAGATATTGTGCATAATCATCGAATTGAAATAAGTCAATCTAATAAGCCCAAAAAGTCTGCAGAAGTTTTCAAGAAGCTTATATTCTGCTGTCATTGGCATGTGTTTTTGTTATAAATTAGTCTTCAATGGCAGGGGATGTTAAGAAACTGCTTGCAAAGGAAACTGGTTTACAGCCTGAAGAGCAACAGCTCTTCTTCGGAGGAAAAGAAAAGGACAATGAAGAGAATTTGTACACAGAAGGTGTGATGGATAAATCAAAGCTTTTGCTTTTGGAGAATGCTGCTAGTGAAGAGTGGAAACTTGAGGAAATTCGAAAACACCATGACATGTTAAAGGCTTTTGAAGCTATTGCCCAAGTCAGAGCAGAGGTGGACATGCTTGCAGAGAGGGTGAGCTTGTGTTTCCCATATTGTTATACGTTGTCGATACATAATAAGAGGACCTGAGAATGAGGATGTGCACTTGATTTGCAGGTTTTTGTCTTGGAAGTGGTTGCAGATGGAGGGACCAGGGTTTCTGACAAAGAGTTTTTGATGTGCACGGAGTTGCTTATGAGGCAATTGCTGAAACTGGATGGTATTCAGGCTGAAGATGAAGCAAAGCTGCAGAGAAAAGCTGAGGTATAGTATCTATTGTGTTGGAGAAATTTAACTTTGAGTATTAATTATTTAGTCTATTTCCATATTCACAAATCAAGTATATTGGTATGTCATTTTCAGTTGTTGGTTTGCACCCCGATATATTTCAACATTTCACCACTTAGAAGTTGTCATTGATGCAATATAGCTCAATATTTTATGCCACCATGTAGATCAGAAAGCTATGTTTTCTTACCCTATCCATGTATGAGATTTTTGTTTACTGCCATTTTTTTAAGATGACTTTTGATATATTTTCTATCTCGTGTGTGAAATTTCTAAGCAAGCATTTTCTAAAATCAAAAGTCTCACTAGAAGAAAATTGTGCTGGTTTGATAGAGTCTTAGTTTCTACTGGAGTCCCGGAAATATATTCTGAAAATGCCAATGGTTGTTTCTTGTCAAGTAACAAGACCTTTTCTCATCGAGGAGAAAACCATTTGATGTAGATTGGAGAAGAAAATGTCATTTAGTGGTGTTAAAGGATGGTTTTAGGAACGAATGTAATTGCATTCCTGTATGCAACCATTTTAGGTTAAGTTTTATAACCCAAATTTTGATGTAGGTAAAAATATTTGCTTTAGGTCAACCTTCTCCACCTTTCCCTTCAAGCTTATCTGTGTTCGGTACTGTAAACTAGATCCAATCACATCATCAATATAACTGAAATAATTAATTATGTATAATTAACGGTTGATGCATGGAGGGAGTTGAAACTTAAATACATTTGTCACTATGAGTAAATTTATAAAATATTCTTGCAAATATCCCTCTACTCCCTTCTTAGATGGAGTGAAAAAATATTTTGTTCTTAATACGTGGTGGTGAGTGATGTACATTTCATTTTTTAAATCATCCATGATTGCATTTTCTTTGAAAGAGTGAAGATCAATTTTTTTACCCGTCAACAGGTGCGTCGTGTGCAGAACTTTGTAGATACTTTAGATGCTCTGAAGGCAAGAAACTCCAACCCTTCACCCACCATTGTTAAATCTGGCTCTGTTGCTACCCAGTGGGAGACCTTTGACTCCGGAATGGGGAGCTTGAGTGCCCCAACCTCAATGTCATCTTCCACAAATTTAACTCATGATTGGGAGCGGCATGATTAACTCGGAATTTCTATGTACCTTAAACTATAAAGCATTTACCACACCATATTTTTGGACCTTGATTCTTCAATCAAGGATGAATTTTTTGTAGTTTGCTAGTCAAACTTCAAAATGGCAATATTTGTTTACAGAGAAGAGAACATTGAATGTTATCAAAGCACGTCAAAAAATAGATCAATTTGTTATTTGAAAACTTATAAAGATTTTAATAAAGTCTTATAATTTAAATAATTAAATAAAATTATTGAAAATAACTTTTAAAACCCATATTTATATTTCATTTCATTTGTTAACATCAATTTAGTTCCTCTATTTTATTATTAATTAGTCTGAGTTTGTTATTTCAGAGCCTTGCAAGCTCTCATTTTCATTCTGTTATAACAAATTCTTTTATTTCCTTCCATAGAGCCACGATCCACCAAATTCTAGAGCAAGAAATCAAATTAGAAATTTGTCAATTATTTTTAAATAATCAAATTTTAATTAAAATCAGACAAAATTAATAAAGTTGAAAAAAAAATTGAGATTTTGGATGAAATCAATTTTGATGAAAATAAATTTAAGATCAATTTTTTTCATAAAAAATATATTAGTTACATCAATTTTAAATAATAATTATTTTATTATATTTTAATAATTATATATATTTTCATTCTTTAATATATTTTATATTATAATTTTTATTATAATTATAATAATAATTTTTATTATTTTTCTTTTTTTTATAAAAATATTATTATTAATAAACTTATTATATCATAAAAAATATTATTTTATTAAATTCGATTTCATTTATTCAACTTTTAAAACCTAACAACCCAACTCATGTTAGGGAATTTGTCATAAATATACTTAAAATCGTAAAAACAAGAAGCCATTACCAGATAGTGTACATATAAGAGAATTTGTCATAAATATACTTCCTTAATACTTAAAATTAAAACATTGAATTACTCATAAAGTTGGTATGTAACAATGCTAATTAAAACAAGAAGGGAAACAAATTTTCTAATAAATTTGAGTAAAGTAATGGTTAGATGTTATTAGTTTTGATTATAAATTAAATGTTTAAAGTGATACTAATCATATTTTTTTAATGTTACGACATTTATTAATAAAAATAAATTATGGTATGTATAAAACACATGGAGATATGGATATGCTTAAAGTAACAGAAGTGTATAAACCTCTTCAATGTGTAGCAAACAAAGGGACATCCAATGCATGTTAAGATTTGCTGGTTTGCATTAAAATGTGTTGACATGATTCATTCAGTTTCTCTCCCTCGTCCAATTAATTTTAAACCCAAATAAATGGAGTACATGATTTTAAAGAGCATATCTTTTCACTTTGAAAAGTTGCGTCAAACTATAAATTAAGAAAACCTGCATTCCATTCATTTCGTCTTGGTAAAATATTTCCGGTGTTTGCTTGGAAAAACATGGATTGTGGGAGACTAGGAAAATGAAAGAAAACAAAATTCTTTTCATGTAAGATTTGTACTGAAAACATCTCTATAGATAAAGCCAAGTTACATCTCTCCTAATTTCATTTTCTTCCCTTTCTTTTAACCAAACAGACCCTTTGAGTTTCTTGCAATATATCTTTCTCAAATTAATCCAAGAACAACATATTGAAGATGAAGACAGAGTAAGGTTTTGTATTATATGATATTGTGACAGATGATGTAATTAAGACAGAAGTAATATATGATTTCCTCTACCATGATAATTGATATAGAAAAACTGTAACCTATGGGTCCAAATAGACTGCTCTAATTGATGGAAGACTTTTCAGAAGAAAACAAAAGAGCAAACATGACTATTACTATTAAAAAAAAAAGAAAAAAAAGAAAAGAACAAATAATTATCAATTAGTGAAAAGACAAATGTCTTGGTTTTGCAAACTGCAACTCAGTGGAACGAGTGTTTTCGCAGGAACCCACAAATGAAATTGCATTCTCATTCAATTTGCGTGTGAAACAAACCACTTAACGTGATGGATGTTTCTAACTTCTCTTCATCCTATCATTCGATGCTTCTAACCTACCAAATGCCACTTTTCTAAATGGAATTTTTAAATTTTTCATAGAAGCTTCACTGTACGTAATGAAAAAGATCAATTTTGATGCCAAAAATGACATCATTTTCTTACATTAAAACGTCCAATTTAGCTTACTTTCGCCGTTAATCTTGACAAGTCGTTCCATTCCACGTTATCATTTATACTTGGAAGTTGCTCCTTCCTCAGTCAATGGCTTTGGACGGAGGTACATTTCTAGTACCATCAATTTGGAACATACTTTTGAGGTTAATAATTATAAATTTGTTTTTTAACAAATACTGAACATTTCATAGAAGGAAAATTGACAATTTCTAGTAATCATTGAAGAAAAAAATTCAACAGCTCCTTGAAGCTCCCTCATAAACTGATAAAGCTGAATTTTATTCACATGTTAAGACATCTTGTGCAAAAACCGTTTTGAGGATGGTTAGAGAAACATCAAATCTCAAAACTTAGAATTTTCTTTCATGACAAAGTAAAATTTCTAGTTACACCACTCACTGATTCATCACCAAACTTTCTAATCTTATCATGCATATATATAGATTAACTTTATACATATGTGTAGTAGCTAATTTTTTGAGTCATAAGTTTATAGTGACCCCTCTTGCACCATTGACATAAGGTGACACAGTAGTGTTGCCACTGTGCAAGGAGCCATGCCTTGTTGGGTCATATCTTTCTCCATCACCCCACAAGGCATAGGCTTCCTCGCCGTGGACGGCGTCGTCGCCGATCTCCAGCTGGTCGTCGGGCATCCTCAGGGGTATGAAGAGTTGTATGAGAAGGAGAATGATGGTGGTGGATACCAAGTTCCATCCAATCACAAACATGGCTGCCACCAATTGCTTCAAGAATTGCATGCCACCATCTCCACCATAGAATGCACCCCTTGAGTTGGTAACTGGCAATAGCAGTCTACATAGGGCTGGTTCTGCAAATAGACCTGTGAGGAGACCCCCTAAAAGCCCAGCCACTGCATGAGTGTGAAACACACCAAGGGTGTCATCCACCTGAACATGATATATTTCACAAAATTATGGGAATTACAAAGTATATAATAAAGTATCAAAAATAGAAAAAGTAGATAAGAAAAAGCAGAACGAGAGTGAAATAAAAGAGAATAATGAATATAAAGTTTAAGTATTTTGGTGGAAAAACTGGTGTGAGGTGAGAAAATAAACTCTTACGTTCTGCAGAAAGGTTGACTTTTTGTGCAGAATCATCATGGTGAACCATGGAATGCTCCCGGATGATATTCCCATCACTATAGCAGCCCACGATTGCACAAGCCCTGCAAGTTTATGTCACACACCACTCGTGTTTAATGTCAACAAAAACTGCATCTACACACCTATGCTCATCAATGAGTCCAATCATTTTCATTGCTTTTAATATTTCTTCCATTAAATTAAATGAGTTTAGCTTATACACACACTACAAGTGTAAAATACTTTATACTAATGTTACTTTAACATAATTTTAATGATAATGAAGTTACTTTTTGTTGAATGTCTATAAGATGTAACCCAATTGTATCTTGCAAGCCAATTTAAACTAGTAAGTGGTGAATGTAAACATTTATTGGTGAATAAAAGCCAGTTTTCAATATGAAAAGCAAAATAAGCATTATAATATGTACACCACCTAATGAAGTGAATATAGCCTATAGGTTGTGTTTTTATCATTGCTAGTCATAAAATGCTATCATTTAACTGAGAAAGAAACACAATTCTCTATTTTCCTCTCATCTGCTATAAGGAATACTCATGATACCTGCTCCTGGTGTGATGCATGCAAGTCCGGTCATCATGCCCTGCACAGCTCCAATCACAGAAGGTTTCCCAAAGAAAATGACATCCAAAGTGGTCCACACAAGGAGACTCGTGGCTGCAGAAATGTTTGTGTTCAGCACCGCAATTGAAGATGCAATATTTGCAGCATATGGTGCTCCACCATTGAACCCTGACCACCCCATCCACAACAACCCTGCACCTGCAAGCATGAGCAGCACATTGTTTGGTGGAAACCTCTCCCTATCACTCTTCAACCTTGGTCCAACCTGCACAATTAATCAATGCTGGCACTATCAAAAACCAAGTTGCTATACATGATTGAATGAGCATGGGGTTCCTCTGGTGCCCAAAATTGACGGTCAAACGTTAATTGGGTAATATGCTTGGAATTTTAGCTTTAGGAAAATAACTTCTTCTTTTTTTTCTCAGCAGCTCTAACAAACGGTTATTTCTTCCAAAATGAAAAAAAATAAAATTGGCCTCAGTAACCCCATGATCACAATTGCAGCCACATGACTTTTTTTTTTTTTTTTTTTCAGAAGATATCAAAGATCATGATGAAATTGAAACTACATGGACTGTTTTTTCTGCAATTTTTCACAATATCAAAGATGAGAGTTTGTGAAAAAAAAGTGATCATGAATGCAATTTAAAACCTTGGTTAAGAGAGATACCCTTTAGACTTTTGAAGCAAATTTTGATAGAGTTATGAAGAAAATGAAAGTAAAGTCTCTGTACCCAATAAGCAGCAGTTAAACCAGAGATTCCAGAGGAAAGGTGGATGACATAGCCACCAGAGTAATCTATGACACCCCATTGGTAGAGAAAGCCGCCACCCCAAAGACTGAAAGCCCCAACAGTGTAAGAGAAGATTAACCAAAGAGGCACAAAAGCCATCCAAGCCTTGATGTTCATTCGGCCAAGGACAGAGCCAGCCAACAAGATGAGAGTAATAGCAGCAAAAGTGAATTGGAAATAGACAAGTGAGGCCATGGGGTAAAAGGGTTCTTCAGCAGGGCTCTCAACAGTGCCATTATCAAAGTGGTGGGTGGTTTCAATCACTATGGCTCGTTTTGTGAGGAACTTTTGGCCAAGTGCTGGGGCACCCTTACCCCAGAAGGGGAAAAGCTCCTCCCCAAAGGCCATACGGTAACACAAAAGCACCCAACATATGAGAACTGCTGCAAAGGCATAGAGAGCCATGAAAGCAGAGTTCACAGCCCATTTTTTCTTCACTATGCTGGCATAGAGGATCACAAGACCTGGCATGCTTTGAAGACCAACAAGAGTTGCTGCTGTTAACTGCCATGCGTTGTCCCCTTTGTTCAGCCACTCGGGTGCTGCAGGAAGGTGCTCTTGGTAAGCCAAAGGAGTGGTCATGGCTGAAGATTGCTTCAATTCTTGATCAAGTTCTTTCACCCTTCACACTTGTTGTCTCTCTGATCCTATATATATGTGTGTGAAATTAAGTGCATGGACAAAAATTAGTCTCTCCAGATATGATGAAGAAGTCTGAATCTCTGCTTAGAAAAGTATTCAGATTTAGTATTTTACTGTTTCACATGAAAGATCAGACCAAAAATTATCTGTGAAATGTTAGTAACCAACTAGTTTGTTTTTTGTGGGATGATAGTGTGCATATATATATATATATATATATATATATAGGTTCATCGTAGTAATTTGAAAAGCGGGATACTCGGTTTGATTGAATCTTTGGAAGGTTCATGAAACAGTGCTGGCTTTTCATAAGTGGCTGCATCAACTCACTAGAGTTTAAAGGAAAAGTCAAAGTTTCTTAGGCAAAATATGACTTGTAGTTGAAAGTGATGGGAGGGGTATAGAATACAAGAGGCTGGGGAATGTTACAACCACGTGGTGTGAATGAGCTTTTTTATTGGTTGGTCAAAAGACATTGAAGACTAAATGAAAACTAGAAATTGAAACTTACAATTTATAAGTAATTTGTTTCATCAATGGTTGTTCAAGAATATTAATTAAAATACATTTTTGTGTAAGAAATTTGCATACTGTTCTTAATTTCAATTTTGGTATGCTTTCTATTAAGTTATTAATTACTTTTTTTTCCTATCTTTAACTGTATTAATTATTGTATTGTTGTTGTATTAAGTTATTGATGACAGTAATTATTAAGTGATCAATCATATTAGTTATTTATTTTTAACACCTCCCAAATATATATATATATATATATATATATATATATATATATATATATATTAATTATTACCTCGGTTAATCATTTTTAAAAATAAATATGAAACGGTTTTATATTTTATAAATAATGTAATTTTTATGCAATATTAAAAATAATGAACATCATTATACTTCTCCGTCTATTCTTCCTATATTTCTCTCATACATAAAAAAATAGTAATAATAAGAAGATGAAAGAACGTGACTAAATTAAATATTATACATAGAAAAAAGTAATTAATATTACATTAAAAAATTAACACTTATTTAATTTTAAAATTTTCTTACTTGATCATAAGAAAAAGTTAAGTGAACAACAAATTTCAATTTCATCATACTTAATTACATAATTTCATTCCAACAATATTCTCCAATTAATTAACATGCTATTTTTAATTAAAAAATATTTTGTAATAGAGTTTTTTTTTTTTTTTACTAATGTCATGTAGTTAAAGTTTTAATAACAAATATGTTAAAGAAAATGCTTTTAAGTGAAATTAAGAAATTAAACGATATTAAATTATTTATAACTAACGTAAACATTATTTTATTTTATTTAGACTTATTTACAATTTCTTTCTGACGTAAAAATAAAAAATAAATAAACTCATTACTATTTTTAATTGGTATGAAAATAATTAATTTGGCTTATTATTAATTAATATGAAACAGAGTGTAGAGGGTATCCGAATACGTGGGAAAGTTGGGACCAATATTTATTGCTGGCGGTTTCCGAAGTGAAACCAAATTTAATGTTCTCAACTAAACATGGGTCGGCAACATAAATAAGTAATTATTTTTAAAATTGAATTTTTATATTTCAACCAATAAAGCATTAACACGTGTTGTAAAAAAAGTAAAAGAAATTTTTAATCTTTCATTTAAATTAATATAATAAATCATAAAAAGTACTTTAAAAAATCCAGAATTATTTTTGGTAATAGTATTTATTATTTGAAGGGAAGAGAGAAAGTTATTTTTGTGAAAGAAATTTGTACAGAAATTATTTGGTTGTTGTATTTATTAATTGAAGAGAGAATGATAGTGATAGGTGGGTATGATAAATGTAGATGAGACAAGTTATGAACTTTGTACGGAACCTTGCTACGTCATTTTACCTTTTCAATTTTTATTTTATTTTTTAATGGACCCAATGGGAACAATTAAAAAATATTTAACTTCGTTTACTTTTAATAATAAACAAATTAACTTTTAAGGAAGTGGGCCTTTTGTTTAAGGCTTGCATTGTACAAGTTATGGCCCTATGTTTGAAGTGGGCCTTATTGGTGGCATTTCGTGATATGACCCATATATGACACACACTCAATCCTCACAATATCAATTAAAATAAGTTGGATTAAAATCAGTTTAATTTACAATATAGTTTATTTAATATAATTAAGCTGGATTAATTTTTTACCAACCCAACTCAATCTTATTTTAGTTGTATTATAAATTAAATTTATTTTTAATATATCATTTTTAATTTTTCTTATATTTGTTGACAATTTTGTCTGATTTAATTAATAGTGTTTAGTAAACAATTTTTTTGCAGCTGTTACAATCTTTTAAAATGCGTGAAATTTTAAAAAAATATTAGTTTCTTATTTATAAATTTTATATTAATTTTTTACTTTAAACTATTTATTAAATTTACCTTATTTCCAATAAAAACAATGTTTTATTACCTTAAAATGTTGATATATTTACCTTAAATTTTTCAATGCCAATAATTTTGGTTATTTTAACTAATGCCAACAAATTTATTTAATGTGTGTTCTTAAAATAGAAATACTGAGAATTAAAATATAAGTTGAAGTTATACATTGAATTAAAAGGAGAAAAATTGAAAAATTGAAAGATAAGAAATATATATAACCTAATTTTGATTTTTTTCTTTTGTTGTTAAAAATAATGTTCAATATAGTAGTTCCATTTGTAAGAACCTCCCACTATTTAGTTCCTTGAAAATATCTAATAAAAAAAATACATTTTAATTAGTATAATAATGATACTTAATTGTTCAATTAAAAAAAATAGAGTTTTAATATTAGTTAAGTTAAAAGTTAATAAATTACTACAAAAAAAAGCCTATTACCTACGGAATATTACCTACGGATACAAATCCAGTAGGTAAATTTTACATTACCTACGGATATTACCCACGGATAAAAATCCGTAGGTAAATTGTACATTACCTACGGTAATATCATCCAGTGGGTAAAGTGTACATTACCTACGGATATTACCAACGGAATTTTATCCATGAGTAATTATCCATTACCTACGGATAATATCCGTAGGTAATATCATCCGTGGGTAATTCAGTAGGTAAATTATATTAAACTAAAAGAATTGTCACTAGCAAGAATCGAACTCAGTACCTTAAAGTTGAAAACCGATACTTCAACCACTAAACTATTAGGATATTCTAATAATAATTTACAACAAAATTATACTTATATTAATTCGTGTAAATATATAAATATATTTTATTTGTAATTTATTTTCAAAATATCCTAATAGCTTAGTGGTTGGAGTATCGACCTCCAACTCGAGATATCGGGTTCGAATCCTGCCAATGACAATTCCCTTAATCTAATAATAATTCAAAGTTTCGAAAATATAATAAATAATAAAAATATAATATAAAGGGGAGGGGGGTTCTAGGTAATAATAAAAAATAAGGGAGGGGGTTGTAATAAATAAAAATATTTTGTTAAGGTGAGTGCATTACCTACGGAGGTTCTAGGTAATAATAAAAAATAAGGGAGAGGGTTGTAATAAATAAAAATATTTTGTTAAGGTGAGTGCATTACTCTACGGAGGTTCTAGGTAATAATAAAAAATAAGGGAGAGGGTTGTAATAAATAAAAATATTTTGTTAAGGTGAGTGCATTACCTACGGATTATAATCCGTAGGTAATTACCTACGACCAAATTACCTACGGATTTTCTACGGAAAGAAATCCGTAGGTAAAGTGACATTACCTACGGATTTTACCCGTAGATAATAAGCATTTTTTTTGTAGTGAATTATAAGTGATATACACTATAATAAACATAATTCTTTTAAATAACGGTTTCTTTTTACTCAATAGAAATTAAATATTAATATAGATGTTATAAGTTTATCATCATGTATATTAACAAATAATTTCGTCAATATAGAAGAGTGATTCACACAATCACTTCGTATATAGATGCATGATTGACCTAATTATGCTTTTGTTTTCTCTAAAACGAGAAACTACACCAAACATGATTAAAGAAGGTCGAAAAGTTAATGATAGATTTTGTTCCTAAAGAATGAAAAAGGCTTAAAACATAAATTTTACAAAATCTAGTTTTAGAAATTTCTACTTTCAAAAGAAAAAAAAAAGATAAGAAAAATTGCGTTAAATATTACCTTTATTAAATAATTACGTTAAAAATTGTTATAAAATATACACAAAATACATTGTAAGCTCAAATGTATAGATTCGTAATAGCTATTCAAAATGCTACCATAATCGATATCTCATATATTCAAATATATCTTTTTCTGTGAAACTAAAACTAATTCATTCAGCAAAAGACCTATTTTACACCTTCAAAATCCTAAGTTTATCCATCTACATACTCTAAATTAATAAATGAATTTTGTAGAATAATATTATTAGACACCAAAGGTTGTTTAATTAATAAACAATCTTCACAGTATGACAGTCACAGAGAAACAGTTTGTCTGTTATTTTTAAGAAAAAAAAAATAATACATGTACATCTCGAAACCATTATTGATCAATGAGGTGAACAGAAGCAGCTTTGTTTTTCTTGAATGATTCAGTTGTACTGAACTTTCTCCATCTTTTATATCATTTCTATGACAAAAACAAGTGTAGAACTAACACTGGTGTTGACATGGTGATTCTTAGCAACTTGCTATAGTGCCACTATTTAATAGACAAACTGTTATTCACTGTTCATTTATATGTAGAAAGAGACAAGAGAAAATTATATATTTATGTCAGATAAATGCGATAATAGGTTACAATATGCATAATTTCTGACAGGTACATCAGGATCTCACTTAGACTTTTGTCTCATTCATATAGTCAGATCCAATGTTCTGGCTTTTCCCCCTTGCTTCTTCGAATGATCTTGTGATTTTCTCAACCTGCTGCTAAGATAAGGGGAAGAGGATTGAGAACACAAAGAGAGTGATAGATTGCTATCAACTTCATGGTCCACCATGCTTCCTTGGTCCTCAGCACTGACCCTTGAACTTAATTTAAGTGACAGATTCAAATCAATGTCAGTATCTGAATTCTTCCTTTGTAAGCTCTTTAGTTCGACCTGATTTGTAGCTATCTTATTTTTTGGCATGAGCTCTGGTGCACTAGGCTGCATTTGTGTTGATTGATGTAGATCATCTTGGCTCATTTTGATTTGTGTGCTTAAGGATTCATTGCCACCAAATGAGAAGAACTTATGTTTTGGTTCGTGGAGTTTACTTGTTGACGGTTCATTAAAACTGGAAGAATCAAACCGGAACACATTATGACACCAATTGATGTTACTATTGGTCCCATGAGTCCCCTCAGTCAATCTGCTGCCACAAATATCAGCTCCAGATTCATCTACCGAACTCCTATTCATGCAAGGTCTGTTCACCGTGTTTTCATAGATAGCAAATGAAGCATCCCCATATCCATATCTGTAGAAAGAAAAAAGAATGGTTTCAGTTGTGCAATTCTAAATGCATGTTTGAGAGAATTTGTAGTGAAAGTTGGTAGCAGTGTATGTGCCTGTATGCTGAACTTTGGCTTGGACTGAAGCCTTGAAGCATGGGAATTTGGCTAAGATTGTAAACATTTCTGTCTCCAGATTGTACAAGGAGCCTAGGATCACCCAATACTGTCATACATAATCCAAATATCATTGGGGAATTCTAAGCATAAAAAACCCTAATCACTTATTCAAGGTTTAACATTTATACCAATGAAGGAAACCTTATTGTACCTTGATTTGTGTCTACCTTCTTGCTTCTGTACATCTGACAAAGGAAACATGGGCAAAAGAAAAGAATTTAACCAAATTGGCAAAAAGAATAGAAACAAACAATGCTATCTAAAGAAAAACTTAATTAGCTTGCACTTATAATCTAGGATTTTACCTGTAAATGACTCTTGACATGAGCAATACTTAAACCTTTGATATTCATCAACTGAAGAACCAACTTTGGGGTTGCTCCTACACCCAAGACAAGCAAATATGACACAATTCAAATTAATTGTTGAATTAATTAAACTGGCAAGGTTTAATGATAAATTGAAATCTAGAAATTAAGTCAAAAGAAGCTATATATGTGCGTGGAACTCACTCTCTTGTCCTCCAAGTCTTTGAACAGCATGAACAAAGCGAAGATGAAGATCGGGTGTCCAACGTAGCCTAGGCAACTTGGATCTAACATAAGGCCTCACTGTTGTCTTCTTCTCGTTCTCTTCCACAGTGCTGTTGCTTGAGCTTCCTCCATTGTTGTGTTGCTTACTCTCGTCTTCATTCCCCTCATCACTTTCTTCACAACCTTCTTCATTCGAAGGGCTTGTCTTGGAACATTCCGAGTCATGTCTCTCTTCTTCCATACTCATATCCTTCACGCACTTCCCTTGGAAACTGGATTTTAAGATCAAAATTTGAAGCAGACAGAAGAAACACTTGCCTCTATGTCGTAATATGTTAATTATTGGTTGGAATTGTATACTCGGAAACTCCTATTGTTCATCCTCCACTATTCTTGGCCAATGAAAAATAGGAAATTCTTGATCATAGCAACACCATATGGCCACATAAATCGACGACAAACCATACCTATGACATACCCAGATACTGAAACAGTCTAAATTGTAGATTAATCGTCACAAAGAATTTAGAATAGCCTCTCTCTCTCTCTCTCTCTCTCTCTTGGAGATGAGTAAACGAATCATTTGGTTCTCATATCGTAAGCATGTTGGAGTATTTAATATATGCATGGACATCAAGGAATGGAGGGAATATACTTGATTATTTCATGTGAGGCCAGTTTTATCGTTCCAACTTGGATAAAAACTTTTCCTTTTCTTTTTACGCGATAATAAAGTAGTTCATATAAATAAATTATAGAAGTCATAGAAATTTAGTATTAGTAGAGCCGTACATAGCATACTAGGCAAAAGTAAAATATGTTTTCCAAGAAATTTGAAACACGAGTCTGAGTCTTCTCATGATAAGAATATTATACAATTCATACTAAAAAAATAAAGAACAATAACACCCCAGGGATTCACTCCCAAAATTCTGAGGCCACATATTCCTCCTATGGACTTCCATGGTGTTCAAAGATACATTTTTTATTTTAATTTGAGCACATATATATATATATATATATATATATATATATATATATAATATGACTATCTTATTCTCTTTTTATTTCATTCTGATAATTTATTTGGAAATATTGCATTCATCATGCAGTTGCTTAGATATTTCTGAAAATAAGGTACCTATGAATCATTAAATAATCAATCACGTTGTAGTTATAATACTATTACATCATTTATTTATATATATAATACACATTTATACATACTAGTCATTATCTAAATTATAATAACTAAAGTCTCATGATTGTCATTACAGTTAATTATAGGGGTGATAATTAAAGTAGCAATATGATTCATTATTCATGAGAATTTGGAATGAAATCAAACATATATGGAAGTAGAGACCACCATGTAAATTAGAGCAGCCACACATATGAACGAGAGTAATTAAGAAATGTATGAATAGACAGCAGTGAGTAACAGAGGGAGGGTTTACAATATTATTGATTGATTCGTGTGAGAATGTGAAATGAAATGTGATGCTGTGCTGTCTCTGATGCAGACCCAAACCTCACATATTTATAAATCAAATATATGTGTCCTTTCCTCGGGATTCACGGGGCTTGCTTATTATTTCCTAAAAAACTGAATTGTTGAAATTGTGAAGGAAGTGTTCCCTGTGTCTAGGGCTAATGTAAGGATTCTCTCATTCCTCTTTGGTGGAAAAAGAGAATGCATTTTGGCTGGTAATAAAGGAAGCTTTTTCATTCCTCACTCGTGCGTCACCGTGTGGGCATCTCTGCATGCATGGATGGTGCATGACTCAGATCAACAAAGGCATCAGAAAGGAACTCTTTTCTTATTTTCTACCATTCACGAGTTTCTTGATCATGGTAGGTTTTGCAACTCCAAAATCCCAACTTTATGATCCTGCATTGCGCCACCACTCTATTAATTCTGATTCCCAACTACTCATTATCTATACAATTTTTGAGATGTATATTTCATATTATGAAATACTTTTTATAGACTTTGTACTATTGTTCCGTCTATAAGTAAAAATATTTCATTTAGAAATAACAATATTGTTAGAATTAATTTTAAGATATTATTTATTACAGAATTTTTATTTATCACAATTTTATTTTTAAAATTATCTTAATTGAAGAGAAAAAAATATAAATTATTATTAATCTTAAATTTTAAAACACATAAAATTTTATATTAAAAATAAACGGATAATTATGAAAATAAACTATTTTAAAATTATTTGGAGTAAATTGAGTTTTGTATTTTATATTTATATACATAGATTAAGAAGAATGAATAATTTAGATTTAGAATTGTTATTCTTTTAATAAAGTATTTTAATAGGTTTTGCTTTCTAATCATTCCACGTACGCATAAATTAATAGATTAGGAATATTTTAAATAACATCCTATAAGAATTAGCTATATACATCCTATATACTTTTAGAGTGGGATCAGAACGTAATAGATTCATTTTTAAAATCTATATAATAATTAAAGTTTTCTTAATTTTTATTTAATAATGTTAGCAAAAAGTTAAAGAATGTACAACAATAAGATGATTTATAGTAAGAGTTATTTACAACTGACCAAGTTTATTTTGGAGATATTGTAGAAGTTGTAAATATATATTTAGGGTTATATCATCAAATAATAGGTCAAAACTATACATATACATCATGTGTATTTTATTTTTCTTTTATTTTTTTCTTTAACCTTTATTTGCAATAATCCAAAATGAGATAATATATATATATATATATATATATATATATATATATATATATAAGTAGTTAATAGTTTAATTAAAAAGGAAAAAAAAATTGGGACTTAAACTAATATTCTTATCACCATAAGAATTTTCGTTATTTGATTTATATATCAAACTTTTAAAAAGCATTTTAATTAATATTCATGATTTTTCATTTATTTTTTAATGATAATAATTGTAACAGTCTTTCACAAACTTAAGAAATAAAATAAAGCAAACTTTGAAATTTATATACACAATTATCATGATAATTTCTCACTTTTTTTATATACATATCTTTCAAACACTAAGATAACTAAATTAATTAATGCATTTACTAATCTAATTGAGATTCACCCTCTATTCATTATTAGCTTTATTATAATTCGAACATCACAAACAAACAATAAGAATTAACGTGAAAATAATTAATCATTTAAAAATGTATTTATAATCATAAAACATAATTTACTTAGTGTTTATAATATATCAATTGATCTAATTTTAGGTGTCTTTAAAGGTTTATCCTTGTTTCTATGACACGCTACAAGAAAAAACACATTTAGCCACCGAAATTAGCGATCGAATTTTTTCGGTCGTTAATTGCGACCGATTTAGCGACTGATTTAATTTTGGTTGCAATTAGCGATCGATTTAGCGATCGATTTAATTCGGTCGCAATTAGCAACCACTTTAATTCGGTCGTAATTAGCGATCGATTTAGCGACCAAGTTAATTCGATCGCAATTTAACGATCGATTTAGCCACCAAAATATGATTTGGTTTCACTTTTTTATTTAACGACCGAAATAGCGACCAATATTTTGCATCGTAAAATTTCGGTCGCTAAATCGGTGGCTATTCCATACTAAAATAAAAAAATCATTTAGCGATTGATTTAGCGACCGAATTAAAATCGATCGCTAATGAGAAAATAGCGACCGAATTGGAATCAGTCGCTAATGAATATTATTTTTTTATTATATTTAAATTTATTTTTTTATAAATATACTTTAATTGTTTTAGTATATTTTTTACAATTTATTTTTTAGAATTAATTTATTTTTTAAAAATAATTTAATTTTTAAAATATACTTTAAAAATAAACTATGGTCTCAATATTAACAAAATGAATTGTAATAAATCAATTTTATTAAAAATTTAAATTGTAATAAATTAATACTAGAGTGATATTAACTATTCAATACATTGTTTAAGAAAATTTTAATAACAAATATTCTTTAATTTATTTTTCAATTGAAAATTTCAATTGAAATTAAATTATATTTTAAAAATTTATATTAAAAAAATTAAACACATCAAATTATCACATTTTAATTCCTCAATAACTTAATTAATTAAAAAAATACAATTTTAATCAAATTATTACAATTTTATTTTATAATACTTTATTTTTAATCTAATTTTTAAATTTATTGCTTTATTATTATTAATTACTTAATCATGGTTGTTGTCATATAATTGATATACCAAAAAAAATTTATATCAATATACATTAGATAATAAATATATTATTTAATTAAACTATTTATAAAAATATATTTATCTTTAGTTAAAATATTTTTTAGTTTAAGTATACTAATTAATATTTTTTATTTTTAACATAATTAATAAAAAAGATTAAAAATTTAAAATTAATCTATTTTATAAATACTAAAAATAAACCATATTTAAATAAATGAAAAATATATTTAAATTTATATTCAACATAGTTAAGGTTGTGCCTTTTTAAAATTTAAATTCAACATATATTTAAATTTATATTAAAAATAGTTAATATAAATTAAGGTTGTACTTTTTTAAAATTTTAACTTTTTTATATATTGGATTTTCATTAAAAACTTTCTAAAATTGCATAAGAAAATAGAAATTTAATTATACTTTTAATAAATTTAAGATAATAATAGTTTTTATTTTTATTTTTAAATATTATTTTAATTTTTTAAAAGAGAGAAACTATAATTTTAGTTTCTAAATACTAAATTTAAAGAATTAAATTTATTATTATTTAATCTTTTAATTTTAGTATTAAAAATTTAAATTATATTTTATTAAATTAAAATAATTACAATATATTTTTCTACTTTGAGAATTAAAAATATAATTAAACTAAAACTGAAAATATTATAATACATTTTTAAACTCTTTTTGATTAATTTTTTTTCCTAATTTTTTATAAAGTCAATTTTAATATTTAAAAGTATTTAACATTTTGAATTCTGAAACATTTTCTCTATTAGCAAATTTAATAACATAATATTCAAAAAAATAGTTAATGTAAGTTTTCATGATGATCGATTAAATTTTCAAATGATCGATCATATTTGAAAATATATAATAGCGGTTCCACGTTAACCGCTATTAGATATTAACTTTTAAGAGTGGTTCCAGGTGGAACCACTATCATATACAACCACATATTTCATTATGATCGATTAAATTTTCAAATAATCGATCATATTCGATAATTTTTTCAAATAATTAA